TCCATTCAAATATGGTCTAAGTTTACAGTGAAGGTATTTCAGGATTGCCTCAGAGAGCCAAATATTATCCTGCCATAGCATTTCTCATAGGCAGAGGGGGGTTTTCCTATTCTATGCCAAAATCTGAAGTCCCAGCTACATTTTATGAATACTAAAGAGGCCACAACATTTTTCAGATGAAGAGTTCACTCTGACTGATGTGATTAAAAGTTCTCTTCCCATATTTTGGAGCATACTGTAAGTAGTTTGTCTGTCTCAATGTCATTTTCAACCTGGATGCTCCATGGTTCATCAAACTACTGATAGAGAATACTGACCATCCCTTAGAAGTAGACTGTTCACAGAGGCTGTTCAGCTCCTCTGAGACAAAAACATGGCAGTGGATCCCACTCCCATATCACATTCTACAAGACTGAAGCTTTGCTGAAGGGTCAACACAAATTAAGGGGCCCATGCATGCAACTCAAGATGCAAGCGTGACATATGTGCAGTTGTCTTCCAAATTTAAGTGGAGGGTTTTTTTCATTTTAGAAGATTTTTTTCTTCGTGACATTTAGCTACAAAGAGCTGCTTTCTATAAAACAACCAAAATGCACCTACTGGTCTTTCTCTTGACAGGCTGTTCGTTTTCCTCAGGCTCTCCCTGAGGCTGTGCCGGCGACGGATAAGAATTTCTTTGGCCTGCTTTTCACTTGCATCTGCAGCCAGGCTGTGTCGGTTGTATGACATTGTCTGAAATACAAAAGCTCTGGTCACACTCTGAAAAGCATAACGTCAAACATGTTAAACTCTATACAAAGTTTAAAACAGGTTTTTTTGCTTTAATCCTTTAATAAGCATCATAAATCCTTGTGAACAAAATCATGCTGAAGATGATTAACAACAACACCAGTAATTATGCCAGTATTTTTTTAGTCATCTGCTTCACAAGCACCTGTTTTGCTTTTTTTTTTATAACCTGCTGATATCTATAATGAAAGAGAAATTGGATAAAGCTGGCTTAATACAGTGTTTACCCCCACGCTGTACTAGCTCAGTCAATATGTCAAAAGGACGCACATTTAAAGCCATAAGATGAAGTCACCTAGGGGAAAGTCATTTTTACCTCCAGCAAGCTGAAGCTTGCTCCACTTTTGAACGTTTTCCAAGGGCTCAGGCATTCATACTACTTAGCCACAGGAGGGTAAAAGCGAAATGTCCTTTTGCTTTTATTTCACAATTTTTCCAGCTCATCATCTCTGCTCTTAATACAAACAACTTCACAGCTGGAGGCAAAAGGGGAATCTAATCCCATGTCATGAAGTGACCAAAATACTAATATAGGTGGGCAGTGGTTTTTTGAATTTGCACCTATGATCCTTTCTAAATAATATGCATATTGCAGGTAATATGACAAAACCAGTAAACTTTAGCAATAGTGTAAGATGAAGGAAGTTATTTACATAAAGGGGTATGAATATGTTGCTGTACATACGATAGGACATGGACTCACAGGCAGTGGAATTAAATAACAGCATTCATTATTATGCTATGGTACAGCAGATGGACTAGCCCAAAGATATGTTAGTTAGGTAACCAGTGTATTCAAAGAGTAGTGGGATATTTAAGTATGTAAATTCATCCTTACTCGATGCCGTATTTGGTAGAGATTCTTTGTTAGTATTTCCCTCATGTTTTCCATTTCAGTGGGAGAAAGTGGCTTTATCTTTCCTTCATGATATTCACTGTGGCAGGATAAAAAAAAAAATAAAGATAATAGAGGAAGGAGACAGAGACAAAAAATGATTTATTCTAATGATTGGGAGCTACATTCAAACTACAGTCTTTGTTAGGGTTGGAAACAACATTTCAAAAGAACTGAGGAACAGGTGAAAACGTAAAGGAATGAAATCTTGATCTCATTTCAGTCAGTGGTGAGGCTCAAAACCCAGTCTCCAAGATTTGATATAAATCACATTAAATTGTAGATTTGATAAGGTACTTTTCAAAATGCCCCTTAGGCTTCCCCTGTAGCTGTATGCAGCAGATGGGCAGGCTCGGGTTCAAGCCCAGCTCTGCCCTATGTGGCAGATGAGTGTTCCTGTGAGCAGGTGCCTTTGTAAACCCCCACGCTGCGGGCAAGCCCAGCTCACCCAGCACTTCACCTAGAAGCTGCAGGCAAAACGCTGTTGTTTGGCTTTCGCCCATTGTCCAGGTGACATCTGGACACAAAGTGTCCTACGCCAGCATGATTACCCTGCCTACACCCTGGGCTGTGAAAAAACTCCTGTGACCCAGCCCAAGTGCTTGGCCACTTCGCTGGCTTACCTGAGAGACACTGACGATGGGACCTTGCTTATCATTCCACTCTCTGCCATCTCAATGGCATGCTTAATTTCCAGCTTCTTGTATAAAGAAACGATGCTGGATTTGGGCTGGTTCTCCCGGATTAGAAGTCTTCGCAGGTATTTATGATCAAACTTTTTAAACCTGTATGTGAGGCAAAGCAACCCAACCAGTTAATTTTTACTGTGCATAGTTAAGGAAAGTCAATATACTGTAGCTAATGAAATTGGGAAGGAGTTTATTGCCTTGGAATGTGTCTGTTCATATTAACAACCTGCTGCTGAGCAACATAAAAAAGGGTCAAGTTCATCTTTGCTTCAGAAAGATGTATCTTAACTTGTGTTTTGGTTAATATGTTAATGGACAGTCTCCCTAGCAGCAGCTTCTAACGTTTAGGTATTCTGTGTTATTTGACAATATTATTTTTAATTCTCCATTTTCACTGAGACAAAGAGAACATTAAATATTTACTGTAATAACAAATGAAAGGCCTAAATTTGCACTGCCTGCTTTTTCATTGAAATTTTAGCCTTCTCTTGTAAAGCTCTGGAAGTTCTCCTTTCCTCTAAAGCAATTGTGATCCTCTTGGATGCTTAGTGAAAAAATATTGATTACAGCTGGGGTGATTTTGTTTGTCAGAAAATATTTTGCCCTCCAGCCATTCTGAAATTATTCTTGAATTTGGTTCTGAAGGTCAGGAAGAGGTGAGACCCTCCTTTGCTCCATAATCTGTTCACTAAAGACCTCCCACAGGCTGGAGGGAACCAGGCTAGAGTCAAGGAAAGCTGTACCTATGTCAAGCATCTGTCAGGAGAGTGTTCTCACTGTGTTGCCCCCAGGTTATTTGGAGAGAGCTCTTCTCAGCTCTTCCTGCTGCTGCTGTTCCTCTTTGTATAACAAACACTAGACATTCTCGTTGGAGCAGTGACTAGAAGGTGAGTGAGCCATGCCCACACTTTGGGTCTAAAGGATTTGGATGTAAAAAAAAATTGCGTTTCTGAGGAAGTGGAGTTAGATCCTAACCAGTGATGATAATGATTCAGCAGCTAAAGTGAAAACATGAATTATTCAGGTATTACCAGTAGTAATCTTCTTAACTGACACTAAGTCTTAAATAATAGCACTGAAAACTGTGGAGCTGCCTGCCATTAGGATCTTTTATGCACCTCATGCCAGCTAGTGCCTTGATCTCTGCAGAGAAAGTCCCAAAGCTTTTGTATGTTTCCCATCAAATAGGGAACTAACCCCTCACTTAACACTGCAGAGAGACACAATTTGCAAGAGGAAAGCAGATGGGATGAAAGGCTCAGCAGACCTACAGGAGATGCTCTGAAACAGTCAGAAGCAGGGAGAGGACAGTCTCAGAAGGCACCATACTTTACCCTGTGGTCAGAGGGCTGACTTTCTTCCCAGATGGATCTTTTGTTCTATTTGCTTGTGGTCTAGTAAAAAGACATTGTTTTGCTGCCTTCCCTTTGTAACCCACAAGCTCTAAAACCAACCATCCACTTCCAAGTATAAAATGCTGAAAATTAAATATGATGCCCAACAGCCTTTGTTTCTTGCTTCTGAGCCAGTCCAGCCTCTCCAGTAAACAAAGACTTTTAAATGCCATTCTTACTTATCTCTCCAAAAGTTGTGACCCCAGTGTCCACACACATCTTCAATTCCAGCCTTCACGTGGTCAAAGAACTAAACAGGAAACATTGGTTCATTAAATAAACTTATAGACATCACTTGCCTTGTCCTTAGGCATTACTAGTTTCTAACTTCTAACTGACTTGCCCCAAAAGCACAGAAGTTAGTTGCTCATTTCATCAACGTCAATCTTGCTCAGCTCCTACCTAAATATGAAGATTTTTTCCCATATTTTAATGTAAGTTCCCTAACCACTCAGCACTATGCTTTCTCCAGGGACCTCCTGACAGTGAACCACACATGACTTTGTGCACGAGACAGCCTGAGTGGGCAGCAGTTCCCCACATCAGCACTGGCCCCTTGGCATGCACAGGACAGAGCTGAGATACCAATCATGAGGTCCTGAGCTCCCATTCTAGGGTACCATGATCCAGATTCACCCCAAAGTGTCCTGATCACCTAATAATATTAGAAACACACTCTTCTGCAGCCTATTATGAATTATAAAAGAGTGAGTCAGTTTAGCTAAGATCTCACTTGATCCTCAAAGGCACCTTGTTACCTTGTTTGCTCTTAATTCAAGTACCATAGTCAGGGTCTCTCAAACTTAGGGAGAAATCCTGGTAGATATGCCCAAAGGATAAGCTCTAAAAGGACAGACTTTTAGATGCTTAAATTGATTTCCTTGATGAATGTGGCCCTTATTATTCCCATTTTTGGAACTTCAAACCGCCTGCCACAGGTATGCTACAGAGAGAAATGCATTCAAGAATATGCATGGCTAATAAACTGAAAAAAAATACAAATCCATAACGAAGCTGATGGTGTGAGAGTTAAGCAAGTTTAACAGTATGTTTAGGAAGAACTTGGATTTGTTCAATTAGACTAAGTCAAATTCAGTATAATGTAATTAAATTGATAAGGGTTTTCTAATGTAGCCCGGTTTTAAAATAACATCTATCTCATATGTGAAACGTGCTACAGAAAGTTAATTTACCTCAAGAGGTGAACAATTAAGAAAGTGAAGATTCCAAAATAATGATAGATAATAATGCTAATTTTGGCAATTGCTGAAGGTTAAATATAAGCCTTACAGTTATTGTGCTTACAACAGCTGTCAAAAAGAAATCTAAAAGGGTGTGTGCCTCTCTGTAACACTGTATGCTGAATTCTTGTCTTACTGAAAGCCATTAGGAATTTCATCTATATGAGGGTTTCATCTGAAGCTGCAACATACCCTGTTATAAATTTCTTCACTGACAGCAGGCTGCTTTTTATTTGACCTTTTGACATCAAGAAACTCCACCAGTGGGCGAATTGTTATTCCCTGTGAAGAAAAAAAAAAAGACAAAAAAAGAGAAAGAGTTCTTGGGTTTTTTTTTGGCATAAGCATAAAGAAAAAACAAAACCTTTCAGTCTTGTCCATCTCTGTCAGAGCACTGAAAACGGCTGTGGGTACCTTTTTGGCTCTGGATACCCTTTCACCTTCCTAAACCCAAAATCCAGCCTGACACAATAACAGCAGATTCACTCTTTTGATTAGCAAGGGTTGCACTGAGCTATGTAGTCCTTGTCAGCACACAGACCCCACTAATGCAACAGAAGGAAGGAAGGGGCTCCCTAGACCTAAAAGGTCCAAGAGGGGCAACCTGACAAACCCCATCAGTAATACATCACTTACCCCACCTGTAGAGTTTTGCAACTTTTTTTTCACTTCTGTTATGGATTAGAAAAAAAACTCTTTTTTTTTTTTCTCTGAATTAATACACAGATCCACCATCATTCCAAAGTAAACATATAAAGTCCTCTTTTTTAGTGACTGCTTCCAGAACAGGTACTCAAAGATGTGTCAACAGTAGCACTAAAATTGCTTCTCAAGACCATGACGCTAAAACCTTTTGTAAATATGTGTTCTTGACTGACTATTCTCAGAGAAAGAACAAAAAGTTTTGCCTATCCCAGAATGCTATAATGGTTTTGAACAATTATTTGTGGAAGAATTGACATAATTTGTTTATTTGCACAAGCTCATTGGCACAGGAGAGGGGAATGAATCTCTCAGGGTGTTGAGATCAGTCCCTACTATCCCAGACAACCAGGTCACATATTTCTTTTCATAAATGAATCAAGCTTTATCTTTAAAGTAGTTGGGTTTCTTTGCCCCATTGCTCATACTGGAACGCTCATCCTGTACTTCATTGTTCTGATAATTATAAAGCTGCTTCTTAATTGCATCGTGGTCACTTTGTACCACTTTGTTCTTCTGCCAGCATTTGTCTTTTTAGTTTAAACAGTGTTCCTCCTTCTCTGCTGTTCACTCCCTCACATAAATAGTAATTATATTCCCTCTTTTCCTTCATTTTGCTAAGGCCAAGGCATCCTGGTCTCCTTTCACGTGACAGGTTTTCCAGTCCCATGATAACTCGAGAACACAACACTGTTCTCTGAGGGAAATGCTCATCTCAGTATGTCTTAAAATCAGCCTCACTTTTCTTCTATTCCCACTGCATTGGTGGCTTAAACTCTACCCCATTACCAACTAGTACCCCTTTATCTTTTTCCCTTTCTGTTTGCTTTCAAATGAAAGGTTCCCATTTCATAAGAGAAATCCCAAGTAAAAAAAGTCCTAGCAAGAAAACTTTTGCACTTATTATTGTTAACTTTCATTCTGACATATTTGCCCTCAGTTATTCTCTGCTTTCTACGTGATACCCCATCTCACTGTCACCCCAAGAACACTTTCCAAAGCCTGTCATTAAGCAACATGAGCAAAAAACAATTTCTATGCTTACGTGCCATGGTCAATAATGACAATATTAAACAAAACCATCCTCAGGAACTGTCTGTGAGAAATTTCATTAATAATTTCTCATCAGTCTATTATCTAACCAGGGTGGTCAAACACTGGGGCAAGTGCCCAGAGAAGAGCAGGAATCTCCATCCATAGAGATTCAGAACTCAGCTTGACATGGCCCTGAGTAAAACGATACAACTTTGAAGGTGCCTTGCTTTGGGCATGGGGTTGGAATAGTGATCTCCAGAGGTCATTTCTGACCCAAAGAACCATATGCTTCTATTTCCTTTTATAGGAGAAATGGTCAGCTCCTTCCTCATTCCCTTTACAATCAACCTAAAGCAAATCTAAACCACAGTTTAACAAGTAGTTAAGTTAACAACCTCCTCTGTAGCCCCCACTCCCAAAGATTTTACAATAGTCATGATTTAGATGAGGTTGCTCTAGAAAATAAATTGCCTTATCAAAGTATGATACCAGGTTTCCCTCTGGGAAACCACGTTGCATTTTATAACACATTCCATTTACCTCTGTATTTTAAAGTATTCTATCCTTCAAAATCAGTTTTCACAGCTTACATGCTAAAGTCAACTAACTGACCTCCAGATGCTCCAGCCACCTTTTCCCCTTTCCCAGGTATGAGCACAGATACTTGCTGCTCCCCATGGCACCTTCACCCACACAAAACACAGGCTAAAATAATGTATTTTTTTTCCCACAGACCTGAAATTCCATGGACTAGCCTCTCATATCTCTCTCTTGTCTCCAGATAATGACTAGCCTGACATGTTTATTTGAGGGTCTTAGCCTCTTCTAAATTTTGCTGGTTTCAGTCACTTGCCTCTCTCTTGGACAGGTTGACATCAGAGACAAGTTCTCCACATTCTTCCACACAACTGGTGCTTTTCGATGGACGTCCAGCTGGTTTGTAGCACCACTGCCTAACACCCAGACTCAAATACTCCAGTTCACCTCTCAGTACCCTCAGTGTCTTCCATTCCCTGCTCACTGTGCACCATAACCCAACTCCTGAGTAAATGCACCACTTTAAATATTCTAACAAGGGATTACTGCTGGGGCTGTACCCAGATTATTTTTTTATCTCTACTTCAACCTCACTAGGTCTTAAATGCTTAATACTACTTAGATGTTAGCATAAGTACTTAATATCTGGCATACTTTGGATACCTCTCTGCAGTTTACATAACATTTTCTTTAAACTATGACCACAGAGAGTACCTTCAAGTATGTTCCTTCAAGTAAGTTAGGACATTTTCTGCCCACTGCTTATTTATCTTATTCTGAGAAAGAAAAAGTCCAGGAGAGGGAAGTCATTACCTGAATGAAAACAGTAAAGAATATCACCACAATGACAGCAGTGATGAACAATTTCTTCCTGGGAAACACGGCAGGAGGAAGCAGAAATACAAGTGAAAAACAAATAGCTCCTCGGAGGCCTCCATAGGCAATAATAAATTGGTCCTTAAAAGTGAGAGGAATTGTCCGAAACACATTAATGATCTGAGTCAGAACAAAAACACCTGAGGGGAAAAAAAAAAAAACAACACAAAACACAGAAAGAGGGAGAAGGGAAAAAAAAGGGAAATTAAATTACACAGAAATCCCCCAAATGCTAACATTTGTTTTACAGCACTTTTATTTCCTTCTTACCTAAATATTATTGCAAGGTGAAATGTTACTTAGCAGCTTGAAAACACCATGGAAGAAAAATTTAAAATGCCTAAGGAACTGATGCTCTTAAATATATTTAATGAGCTAACCAACTCAGCTCAGATGGATTTAGGTCCTGAAGCAGCTAACTGATCACAAGACAGCTGTCTGACAGACTCTGCACCTCTGGAACAGCAATAATTCTCTGAGGAACTACAGACCAAGACTCTTTGTTTTGTTTTGGTTTTTTTTAGTAGGATTTGAGGTGCTTTTGAACACATTGGCCTGTCACTCCCATCAATCTGTGCTTTGAATCCTGCAAACTCCTATTAATTCAATTTCACTTCCACAAACAGTAAGGATGCAACACTGAGGATGGAGGGAGAAGACATAAATTTGTAAATAAATATTGACTTAAATATATACGTTCTGATTAACAAGCAGACTGCCTAACTTCAGATGGACAGAATGAGAACCAAACTGATTTGGGGGCTCCATTTTGGGGGAAGATGGAAGCTGACCCTGCAATCTTAGATGTTACAAATAAGAAGACCATTCTACAACCTGAGGGGACTCCATCTAAATTTTGGCACTTTCTACTTAAGAAAAGGTAAAAAGTTTCACTTGCAAAGAATACTGACACAGAGTCTGAGATTTGCTTACCCAGTGCCCTCCAGATTAAACAGAAAAGGAGGGTGAAGCTCACGAAGGCCCAGTTCCACTCATGGTTCTTCCCAACCGTAGACACTCCCATGAAGATGAAGATTAAGGTCTCACTGACACTGCTCAGCATCTTCATGAAATACTTTATTGTCGTATAGGATTTTTGAGAAACATTTTCCTCCACATATTTATTCATGGTCATGGCACAAGCAGTAATCCTAAAAGGCAAACATTATCCTCTATTTTACTGGCTTAGGTTTTTTGTTGTTTTTTTTTTTTTTTTTTCTTTTTCAGCCTCTCTCATTTCTGCAGAATATTATTCACTTTCCCATAGTCCCCTTTAAAATACAAATCAAAACTTATTCCATAACCAATCTCAAATGTATAGACTTGGTGTGCTGACAGTTTTGAGCATGAGTTTTTTTTCTGCAGTGGGGAGTTTTCTGAGAAGACATCAGTATATAGCGATTTGTCACATACTAAATCCACATGATCTGTGCAGGGGTAGCTCAAACTCTGTGTTTTGAAAGAGGCTGAGATGAGCGGAGCCAGAGGCAGCCGTGGAAAACAGAGATTTCTGCTTCTATTGCTGCTGAGGGGCACCAGACAGGATGACATCTGCATGTCCTGGGGCAGGGATTCCCTCCCTTCCCACCAGTGGTTGTCCCACCAAAGTGTTGCCCTCTACAGTGGCAGTGACAGTAGCCAGCTCCTCCTTCCAGGCAAAGTAAGCAGCAAGGCTACAGAAATTTGTAGCCTCTGATTTCCGTATTGAAATTTAATTTAAATTTCTCTGATTTCGCTATTTAAAACATTATACATGCTCATGTGTAGGTTCTCAAACCATGCACAGTAAACTTAAATGGACAGAGGGATGTGTATTTATGTTGTCTTTGCAAACAGAGTCCATGAGGACTTGTCCTACGGTTATTTATCCCAGTTCCACCAGATTTTCATTTACAATTATCTGCCAACATAGGGGATATTTCTTTCTACTGAAATCTTCACACCTCTCTCTCTCATGGGGGAGGATGGGTAGGTTTGCCAGCATCTGTTTGGAAAAAGATGAACAAGACTCTCCCACATCTCAGGAAGATCCTAGTGCAGAAAATCTTCTGCTGGGCATGTCCTGCCTCTCAGCCAAGAGCCTCATTTCTGAACAACTCAAAAGTCCCTGAATGAAAGTGTAAATAGAAAGGCAGAATGAGGAAAAGCTCAAAAAGAGCTCACTGATATTATGAACACACGTCTGGGTTCTTCCTTCAAAAGGACCTTACATAGTGAATTGTCTTAGCATTCTGCAGGAGGCTGTCCATGGCAGCAGCTGAGGCTGTAGGCACTGGCAGACTCTGGACACCTTTATCCTAATTAAAGTTAGCTTTGTCCAGACCTTTCCTTCTCTCACGTGGAACCAGCATGGCCTGCTTTGGAGGACAATGGCCAAGATTTGAAACATAATTGTAGATCTCTGATCCCACCAACACATCCACATCCCCAAAGTGACTGGGCAGCATTACTTCTGAGGGAGATATCTGGGAGGACACATGGACACTGGAAGAGGACAGTGCACTTCACTGACCTCTGTCAAGCAGCACGGGCCCTGCAGGCACATCAGGGTGAATAAAACCCGGGGAAGAGGGTCTGATGTGTGGACAGATGCAGTCCAAGGGGTCAGGCACTGACTTACAAATGCAGGTGGAGAGGGTTTGCTAGCAGAATAGTGCATCTAACCTGGCCTTCACCCTGCATTTTCATTCACCTACACTTGGTGACAGAGAGGCATATAGTTAGCACAAAAAAAATATGGCTTTTGTCACGCAAAAACTAGCTCCAACCCTAAGCCAATGCCAAGACTAAGAAGAAGGAAGGCTTGACTAAAACTATCCCAGGCTCCCATCTGCATTTAGTAATGACATAATTGTCAATGTTATAGTCATTGTCAGCTCATTTCACCATGGTCTTGAACAGAAAAAAAGCTCTGTGGCCCCAGGGCAGCATGCTGTATGGGAAGGAGAGCTCTTCTTGGCTACATGGGATCCAACGTGGAAGAAATTACACAGATTCCATAAGCACACAGCCTTTCTCCCTGCAACGCTCAGTGGTTTAGGTGATGTTTCTAGTCTGTGCAAGTGGTTGCCAATGCTCTTCACAGCTCTCCTCCTTGTTCTGATCTTTGGTTGCCCACTGGGGACTTGTCATAGATTCCACAAACATATGTGTCTACATATCACAGGAAAAAAAGTGGGAGAGGACCTGAGCCATGTATGGATTTTATCCTGATAAGGAGTGATTAGTTGGCCAGGACAAACACACAAGCCTGGATGCTGTCAAACATCACCAGGTTCTGAGGTTACATGTAATTCTGGTGACCAACCTCAAAAGTGCATGTGAAAAAGTGCCTCAAATCTGCTTAACACTACCACCCTCCAGAATTCTCATATTCGGTGGCAAATCAACTCTTCAAAAGCCACAGGCTGCCTGACAGACCTGCAAATATGTCAGGTCACAACAGTTCTCTGTGTGTACTGTTTATCTGCAGTATAACAAGACTGATGCATCCCAGCTACCTCCAGCCAATTGCACACATGGTGGAGCTGGCAAGTGCAGGGGCAGCAAAAGCAATATAGCAAGAACACAGGGGACAAGCTTCAAAACAGCTGCTTCCAGACCCACGGTCGTTTCAGAGTCTCAAAGCTGCAGCTTACTGCCCAAAGCATTAGGTCTGTCAGGTCTGCATCAAAAGCAAAGCAAATCGCTCAGAACTGTTTATTACCTTCTTAACAGAAATCGTTTTCATTATTGTAGTCATTCAGGAAAGCCCTGCAGCTTGGGGAATGGGGAAGCATGCTCTGGACATGGTTTGTTTTTGGATCCTGAGGTAATGGAGACACTGTAAATAGACGTCTGATAAGAATCTGTCACCAGATTAATCAGGATCTTTGCAGGCTGTAACTTAAAACATCTACAGTGCCTAACCACTGCAATTTAAAGGGACGACACTCTTATAATGTTATTTTCAGTCACATTTTGCATTCATTCAATTCGTGTCAACTAATTGATGATTTGGTTCACTAGCATAAAAAATAGTGCTGTACATTATTTGTTGTTCTTCAGGTATGTAATATTCCACAGCTAATTACTGCCCACTTTGTGAATCTGGTATCTCTTTAGAGTACTTATCTGTGCTAGAAAAAAATGTTGAGGTCTCTTTAATTTGAAAATGATAAGGCAATATGGTATTAGAATTTCATATGAAATAAATGTATTTAAACATGCAATATTTCATGTACATTCTTCTAATATGTATAACTAAACCAAACTAAATTTTTACTGTCACAACAATCAAAGCAAAAGCTTAGGTGTGTTTTATTTTACATTTGTTATCCACATATATTGATTCTGGCTTCCACTTCTGTGACCTGAGGTAGTTGCCTTGGTCAAGGAGGATTGGGAAAAACAGTTACAATGAACCTGCAACTTTCTGTGCTTCTGAAGAATAAAAGTTCTCTTGTACAAAGAGTACAGTTTCTGTCATGACTGCAATAAACTAGGCCACCGGGTTCAATCCTCAAGTTTCCTTGACCTACTAAATTTACACTTGTTTCAATTTTGTTCCTTTGAGCCTGCTAATTCACTGTTGCAAAAAAACCAGAAACGTATGTGAACAGTTCTGCTGCTTCACAGTCTTTATGAGAAATTAGTAAGTAGAAAATGCAGCATTACAGTTAGAAAGGGAACCAAGAAAATAAAGCTCTAAATCACATCGGTGTGTTTCACACTTGTGATCCCGATTCAAGCCCGGCTCTAGTTACAGCAGAAGCTCTTTCCTTCTGAAGAGGACTCTCACTGCAGCTCACAGGGACGTGGTTCAGTCCCTTCACTATTTCAGCTGGGTACCCTGGTGCAGGGGGTATACGTGGATGTTTCAAGAATTATTTGTCTTCAGAACAAGCACACAGACTTCTCCAAAGAGAGACAAGCGCTGTTCTTTCCCCTCTATTCCTCTGCCAGTGAATTCCTGCCTGTGCAGAAATGAGGCACTCTGTGTATGCACCTTATTCATTTGTTAACACTGTATGTTCCTGCTCATGTCCTACCCCTCAAATATGGAACAAGATGTAACCACAAGGTCTCGCTGAGCATCTTTACAAACCTGATTATGAAGGAAGTGGGAATCGGTCGTTTAACAGACTCACATGGATATGGGTGAAAAAGGTGAGATCAGGCAATTGTTCCCTACAGGTTGCACTGCAAGTGGCTACAGAAGCATATAATAAACAATCTAGGTTGTAAGGGGCACTCCGAGGTCATTTGGTCCAACCACATGCACCATGGAGGGATAACTCTGAAGTCAGACCCAAGCAAACCTGCTATGAGTCATTTGCTGGAGAAAATGAGAGGGAACTCAATACCGGTGCGTGTTGCACTGCGACACAGAGCAAAACACTCTTTGCACTTCAACGCCAAATGAAATGTGAAAAGTACAGGGTAGATTTACTCAAAGGGGATGCAGAGACCACAGGAGCTCTAAGGCCCTCGGCAGCACTGCTGGGAGGGGACAGACTTCAGGCCTCATGACAGCTGAGACACTACACGGCTTGCAGAGAGCCCCTCCTGCTCCCCCGGGTGTCCCTGATGTACCCAGCACTGTCAGCTGTTACAAAATACATCTAGAGTCAGAAAACATCCAGCATATTTTAAAGATAGATTCTTTTCTATTGTGCTGTTGGGAGGGGAAAAATACTCTGTATTTCTTTATCTGTTTGGCACCCGCTCAGGGGGCAGTGTTAGAGATAAAAGGGCCAGGTTAGTGCCATGGGCAGCACTGGTGTGCCATGAGGCCACTGAACCAGCAGCAGACCCTCTGTGCCCCTTCCGTTGTACCCTGGATGCAGCAGGGCCAAATTAGTGTTTTCATGCACGTTGCCACAGTTTTTTCCATGTGCAGTTTAGCTGCACACTTTTGGTTTAGAAGCCCTTTAAGTATTTGATCATAGGATGTCAATGACATTTGACTTCAGAAGCAGAGGCAACTGGAAACCACACAAGTGCTATGAATAGAAGCTAGGGCAAGAGATGGCACATCTATGAACTCGGTCAAAGTGGATGCATATGTTACTTTATTTAGGCTCATATCAGAGAAAGAAACCTATGCAATCTTTATCTCTTTACTTACATTAAAGTACTAACCCCTCCCATTTCATGGCATATTTCTGTTTTTATACTACTAAAATCATCAGCTGCAAGTTTCCATGTGCATTGCTTCCCAGCTCTAGAAAACCTTATGCTGGCATGACTATGATATCAAACCTAACTTCACTTTCCTAGAAAGATAATCATCAGATGAGGTATTATTAAGTATTAGTGATACTCTAAAGTAACATCTAAGCTTTCATAAAAAGCTATGTTCCTAATGTCTGAATGACTCATGTTTTCCACTAGAACAATAAAAAGTCATTAAGAAGGTTGGCCTTTAAGAATATCACTTGGAATCAGGGCAAACCATTTAAGTATATCAAATGTCACAAAGGGTCTTTCTAAAGCTGGGGTTGTTACAGTATAAACAGCATCAAGCAAGAGGCTGGGTTCTGTCTTTACTGAAGCCCAGGAGTGAAAATATTTTTAGCTGTTGGAAGTGGGAAAAATAATATTATTTTATACATAACGATGTATACAGAGATCATTGCAACACACAAATACATGTACCAAGATACTAAACTGAAAATTTATATCACCGTAGGACTAGATTCTGCAAATTTTACATTCACCCAATCCATACGGTGCTTGTAATCCAACAGAAGTTTGCTTAATGCTATACACATTGTCTTCAGTGAATGGTACTTACTGGCTGCTCACATGACTAAGTGTAAGATGCAATTTCACAACATATTGGCACCAGAAGTGAAGCCAGTTCATGAAGTTCTTAGCTACCACTCCCACTCCCACCCAGCCACCGCTACATCACTGTGGACCACCCTTCAGCCATGCCCTGATGACTAGTTGTAGGGTCACATGAGGACGCAGGTCACCACACTGATCTGGGTTAAAAATAACCCCACTGAAAATACAAGGGATTATTTTTAACTTGGCACATTTCAAAGATATGGTTTATGGTGTGATGCCACGAACAGTTTTAGTGACACAGCTGGTGTGGTGGCAAGCTGAGAGAATGGGATGGAAGTGGGAGGGGAGAGGCCGGAAATCCTCAAGCCAGCACTGCTGCCATGCTCGGTGGAATGATGCCATGTGGCAAAGGCTGCAAAATCTGGTCAGCTCTGTAATTTCCTTTGGCATTACTACTTGGGTGCTGTTATTATGAACTTTGGGGTACTTACGCCATGATGCCCGAGAGATGAAACATTTCAGCTGTTATGTATGACAAGTAACTGTACAGGAAGACAAAGAGTGGCTCAATCACGCGGATTTTATGGGTGAAACGGGTGGTAAAGGCTGCTACAAATCCCAAAAGGATTCCAATCAACACTCCACCGATCCCCACTATAAAGAAGTTAGCAATCCCAGCGAATATGTCAATAACCTTAATTGTGCGCATCTGGCAGAAAGACTTGAACAAATTGTACAGGACCTATGAGAAAAAGAAAGCACATTATGTTTCTGAACTCTTCTTAATTTCCATTCATGTCATTATGCTCCCCTGCTTCAATTTTGAACTCTGAATTTCACTGTCTACCCTGAACTCCCTTCTGAGATATGCTGTTGTTTACTTCTGGTATATTACTTGTCATCCATAAATATTAGGGGGATACATAAAGAAAGGTAAATATCATTACTCTAGTTTTTGCAAATGAAACAGGTTTATTAATCTGTGCTATTTTGCAGGCTAGGAGCATAGATCTATCTACCCTTTCTTTAAATTACTTTGCAGAACTTCTATTCCTCCACAAATGGCCATTTCAGATATTCCCCAGAATTAAAGAAATTTAAAAAAAAGAAGGAAAAAATACAGTTTCATCATCAGTGAAAAATCAGTTTCTTTTCAAATGTGATGGATTTACATAAGACACCAAGAGCTGCAGTACTAAATCAGGCCACAGACCCATCTGACATTGGTGTGGGCAGGGGGAATTAACATTAACCTCCCCAAGGAGTTCAAGAAATATGACATCTATAGAGCACTCTTTCTCTGACTTATTAACCATGAGGAATCCAGTGGTTTGAAGACTTTTCAAACTTCAAATTATTTCTAGAGATTTGGATTTAACTCCCAATAACAAACCTCTTACCATGTGTTTGCTGAGTTTAACTTTCAAAGTGTTTATAACCATCCTCCCAAAAGCAACTGGGTCAACAGGATTATCACATTTTCTTAGAGCCCCCTTTTGCTTTACACAGGAAACAGAACAATGTAAAGTCCACATTTCTCTATATCCAGCAGTTTAGTTACTACAAAACAGTCAACAACAGAACCAGTTACTCCTAAAGAAACCTTAAAAGGTCTCTGCATTTGCAGACCTGCTTAGGAGATTTAAGCATTGCTTGGTGCCATGCTCCCAGTGATGTGATACTGTGCTGGCTGCATAGTCCCCTTGGACAGATCTAAGCTTGGCACCTATTCCTATCACAGTGGGGACACAGAGCAAGCCATGTTGTCATAATAAACACCTGGCTAGTCATCTCGGACAGCTTGCAGAGTTAAACCTCCACTTTCTTTCTGGATTTATTAGTAAACCAAACAGGTTTCTCTATCAGAAATGCTGTTTGAGAGAACAATGTTTTATCAGCACTTGCATTATGCCAACAATGGAGGTGTTTGAATAGTGACTGGGAGAGATTTGTCATGTTCCTAGTCTTGCTCTCTCTCCCCTGAAAGTTGTTCAGTTCTTCTTGGTCAGAATTTGAGAGGTCTTACAGAGGTAAAAGTCCTTTGCATAGACTAATGCAAAGACATGGCCTACTATGGGTCCTGCAGGATAAGTGAAAGGAAAGGACTTGAAAAGAAAAGAAAAAAATATATTCCAGAGCAAGCATGAAAAAAGAAAGTTAAATCAAACCTAGAATGGTCACCAGTGATTTTCATTACAAAGCAACAAGCAGGACAAGAGCAGGAGCATGAACTTTTTATTTGATAGCAATGATGCCCTGAGGATGAGCCCACCTGGGAGAAGTGTCCTTTTTCACCTGGACAAACCCCTTCACCTTGCTGCTCTGAGGCAGACCTCCAGTCTTTTGCCCTGTTCCTTGTTACTATGTCCTGTGCAGGACAGGAAAGGAATATCATAGGTTCCATTTTCCACCTGTTTTGATTTGTGGACCCTATAGATTTGTATGAAGAGTATACCAAAATTACAACTACTGATAATGTGTGCCTTTGTTAGTCACTATACAAGAACCTCTTAGTCCACAGACTCCAGGACTCCAAGAATCACAGGCTGAAGAAAAATACTGTTGAGATGTGGTTTTAATTTGCAAGGAGAGAAGGTTCCCTGAGTAACTTGTTGAAACTTGGGACTACCTCAGATTAGTGTTATTCTTCAGGCCACCTACAGAATTTGACCTAGCAGAATACTCCCTTGATATCCACTAGGGAAGACAATTATTTTCTTTCATTGGAGTTGTAAATAGCCTCTTCTATATTTTAAAAAGTAACTATATGAATATGTTTGTCAAGTTTCCAAAGTAAGGGCACTGAGAGCTGCTTGTAAAGAAGATAATTTTGATCTACTCAAGCAATAGCCTTTCCATAACATCAACTCCTCCTCACAGCAATTTATTCAGCCTGCAAACAGAATGGAGCCTGTTGTTTCCACAGACAGACGTCCTCAGAAATCTCAAAAGTCTGTTGCCATAAGCTATTTGAAAGAAGAAAAGCAGTGTTCTCCTTTGTACCTCAGATCAAAACCAGACAGTAGAGGCAGCAGCTAGGACTATGGAATGGGGACTATGGAATGGCATGAACATGATCTTGATTGCACGCCTATTGTTCTTTATTTACACTGCTGTAAATTAGATCAAGATCAGTTTCACCTCCCTTTTATTTTACAGCAGTTCAGTTCTAGAGCTCTCTCTAAACTTTCAGGTGAGTTAACATCAACTCTGGTCACATTTGGTAATGCACTTGGTATGAGGATAGGGCTTTTTTTTCAAGTTCAAGACTTGCATTTACTCAACATCCTTCAGCTGAACTCGCTGAAGGTTACACCAAGGAGTATTAGTCACAAATCACATTTTAATCTTGTCTCGGAGTATCTCTGCTCTTCCTAGGCACTAATTGCTTGTTTGCATTAGTTCTCAGTTGATAGTTTCTAATTCTGAAATTACTATAAAGCACTCTGAAATAATGTTTTCAGCAGAGTCAGAAAACAGAGCACTGCTGTAATGCACAATAATATTATTGTAATGACACTGGCTCCTTTTTCCGTGTGATTTTAAGCCTGGAATAGGAATTTGAACTGCTAACACTCAACTTCAACTGTGATCTTGCCATTTAATAGCATTGTGCTAGTTAATGCTCCCAGCCTTTTAGTAAAGCATCAACTCTGAACAAGAAGTGACCTGGCAAACATTGTCCTCAGCTAAATTCAAGCTCCAAAATCAAATGCACAGGTATATCACAAAAACTATCAGGCATGAAGGACCACCTGAGAAACCCAGCAGAGCTGAGATTCCTGAGAAAGCACACCTCACTTTGTATCTGAAGTGCAGGTGTGGCAGCACGTTTTCTGAAAAGGGAAAGCATAGATGACCCTGCTAGCCTAATAAAAGCTTTTATTAGGAGCAGAGCAAGTGGGACAGCAAGAAGGGCTTAAAAGTATTTAGAAAGCATGTTCCCTAAAGCCACACTGATCTGCACTCCCTGTCTGTGTAGCCCTTGGGTTTTTTTTATCCATGGATGGCCACCCTGCATTCAGATCCCCTCCTGCTTCATCCCCATATCCCACTGGAGGCACTGGCCAGGGCAGGTGGGACTCTAGGGCTCCAGCAGATGAAAGCTAGAAGCTGCTGAGCTCTGTTAGCTGGTTTTATTAGCTCTCCCAGTAACACAACAAGGGCATAGGAAGAGAGGGTATTTACAAAACTTCATCTCCTTTGACCAGACAGCTGGTAACCCCAGCTGCACCACGGCGAGGACTGGTCCAGCAGCAGCGCTATGGGCAGGGGAGGTGAGGTCCTCTAAGGGCACCCACAGGGAATCTGATGGCCTGGGTCACATTTAAAGTATAATCACATGGCTGCAGGTGTGCAAAACCATAACAAGGAACCATTAGCAGACCAGTGCTTAGCATGTGGAACCCAGCTGATGTCCTGCCAAGTGCTATGTGTAAGCAATAGCTGGGAAGTAAGACTGAAGGTACTCTAAATTCCTTTCAGTCCTTCATGAATATATGTATGTATGGCCAATGCGTTACTGGGCTTGCCCTACAGACTCCTCAGAATATCTCCCCTGTGTTAGGGCATTTGGGCAGGCATGCCCTGACTGAGGACTACCTCCAAAGAAGGCAATAATGATGCCTACAGGAAAGCCATGCATCACAGTTATTAAATTGCCATGCCTGCTCCAAAACGACAGTTCTATAGGTGCTATTTGCCATTGGGCAATGGTACACATGAACACTTCCATCATCAGGATGTAGTGTTTTCTTAGCAAATCTCACTGGATTAACTGCTGTTCCAGTGGAAAGAAGACCAATCTTGCAATTGGAAGAACTGACTTTATTGGGAAAAATACACCATAAAAAAAGGTTTACATTAACACAAAAGAAGACCTTTTTCCCCCTAGAGAAACTTGCACGAAAAGAATTCCACTGCATGAGTGGCCACTAAGAGTGAACAGAAACAGACACAGCCATGGCTGAACTGTTTTCATGGCTGAAACTCATAGTTACATCCACTCATTTTCAGGACTGGCTTAAATACCAGTTTAGCAATGGCAAGCAGTTTCAGCTGGAAGCTAATGAGAAAAGCCAGGCTTTAAGGGAAGCCTGTAAGAGAGGACACAGTTCAGCTGGCTGGATAGCAACAGAGTCAGGTAAAGCATGAAGCACAGGTAAGAAAAAAGCAAACAAAACCCAACAGTACTCCCACAAACAGACAAGAAACTATTACTACTGGGACTCAGATTAAATGATGATGTATACAAGTGTTAAGCAGGTAAGGTAAAGGCCTGGAAAAGGGAAAAAAACAAAGGACAATTGTGCACAGAATGGTACAGAACTAAGAAGACAGTGATAGAGACAGGGAAGATGTGGACCCAGTTCATTAATCTTTCTGATCCTTCTGGCATATGAATACTGGACCTCCTGTCTCCTGAGGCAGAAAGCATGCCAGGACACAGCTGGCATGGGCAGGATTTCAAGCAAGGCATGGAAAAATGGAAGTAATGTCCCAGACAGGGTGTCATTGGGTGTAAATGAGGGCCAGTGGGGGTGTTCACAGAATTTTCAGATTGCTGTCCTCAGGTCAGCACCACAAACCCAGCTCAGCTAGTTAATGATTAGAAGTTCCTGCCTGCAGCTGGCTGTCCTATCTCACCTGTATCCTAGGAGAAAGGGATCGGTGGTCTCAGGGCAGTTCCACCTGGATGGGCACGTGCAAAAGGCAGGCAGGAACTGGGTCCTGTGCCTTCTCAGTGATGTGCCCGTCCTCCCTGTGAACATGCTGGGACACTCCACACTGGCCCTTTTCCCTCTCCTCTCCAATGACATTTCTGCAGGTGAGGAAAACCTCAGGCTACAGAAGTAACAGAATTCAAGGATACAGAGACTAAAGAGATCAGATAGTAAAATCCCTAGAGCAAATACACTGCCAATACACATTACTCTGGTGTAGTAAGACTACCATAGTTGCTAGATCTAATTTAGAGAATTACATAAACACATCAGCACTCCTTGAGTTCCATCTGTTAGCAAACTGTGATAACCAGATACAAAGAGATGCAATGGAGTGGCATGCAAACAATCCTTTATCGTTTGTATCAACTAATCATTTATGAAGTCACTTACCACAGTTATGGCATCATTCAGCAAAGACTCTCCAAACACCAAGATGTAAAGCTGCTCATTGACATGAATATTTTCAAAAACAGCTAACACGGCCACAGGATCCACAGCTGAAATGAGGCTGCCAAAGAGCAAATTCTGCAGCAATGTGATATCAGTCAAACCAAACGCACTGATCTGGCAAATTCCATAAAGTGAAATTCCAATGCCAATGGCGTTCCAGAGTGTGCCCACCACAGCATACCAGAATATGGTACCAAAGTTCTCAAAGAAAAGGCGAGTTGGCATAAAATATCCAGCGTCGAGTACAATGGGTGGTAAAAGATACAAGAAAAAAACATCACTGTTCATTACAGGTGGGGACTTCTCCTCTGCTCCAAAAATAATCCCACCAAGAAGCAATCCGACCAGAATGAGGAGACAGCTTTCAGGTACTATGGAGGGCAACTTGTGATAGAGATGAAAGCCTTCAAAGGAAATTCAAACAGAAAAAAGTAAAATGGTTATTTGTACAGAATCCAAAAGATTACTTTGGATTCTCTCATCTTAGTTAGAGACTTAGTTTACTACAGAAGTAAACAAACAGCAATCACAAGGTAATTTCATTTCCATCAGAAAGACTGGACTGGACCACCACAACATGTCAAGGCAAATCTGTCAACTTGGGTAGTTAATTCATTTGGTGGAGAGACAATTTAACAGCTAGAAGTTCCAGCTAACAGCTAGGCTGGCTGGAGCAACCGTGTGCAAGGGTTCTGCTTGTGAAAGTGTGAGTGGAATCCTCCAGGAAGACAACCCAAACACTTTTCTAGGGCAAATTACATCTACATAGAGGGGGGAAAAAAATCATACTAACCAGCCCTTCCTCCATGCACATCTTCAAAAGGAGTTTAAGGAATACATTAATTTCATTTTGAGAAGTCTTTCATAGTCTCAAAGCTAGGGAGGGGAAATAGCACATGTGACCTGCACCCAGTCAGAGGTGGTCACTTCCCCAGCCACCATGAGGAAGCATTTACAGACATAATCATTCTCTTGATTTTAGCAGAACCTCCAAATTCATTTGACAAGAAGCAATGTTTTCCATAGAACAGACAGTAAGTTGTAGCCTGTATTATCATACTCATTCTTCTGTATTCTATGAATTATGATAGTGTTAGGAGTCTCTCATAAAAATCTGTGCAAAGTACTGAAAAAAAGTAATAAAAAAAGGCTCTGAATGAGGACTTCATGGTTGAATGTTCCTTAGCCTACTAAAGATCTCAAAGTCATGCAGTTTTGATTTAAAGATTCCCATTACTTGTAGAAGTTGGCTGCTGTAAGGATAATTTTGGTAATGAATGGGAAAAGTTTTGAAGGAACTTACTGTGGCCAATCTAATGGAACAATCAACCTTATGCACCAAGGTCACATTCCAGGTCCTGACGATGCCAATCTTTTCCAGGCTCCTCCTTATCTATATTTGGCCTATATAATTATATAGAAAACTATCCACACCCACAAGATCCCACAATTCCTGCCTAACTAAAAAGCATTTAAATTATTTTAAATGAGAGCTGCATGGAAACACTGGGTGTGGTAATAACGGGCATCTATTTCAGTAAAACTATTTCAGTAAAAATCACACCTGTAGATGAAACAGTTAAACTAGTGGAAGCTTGGTATAGCTCACATCCAGTTTCCCAGTTTCAAGCTTCTGTATCTTGAAAGACCCATTTTGTTAATTCTCCTTCCATCACAGATTTTTTTTTTTTCCAGGTAAAAGGAAGCCTTAACTTGTAATTAGGAAAAACAAATGGCCAAGAAGGATGAAGGGGAAAGTAGGTTTTACTTATATATTCTATAACTGTTAAAGCTATTTTTAAAAGTAAGCAGCTCAAGCTGCTTTTTTTCCCCTTCTGGATGAACACAGACTTTTATTATTTAGAAACACAGCCTATTTGACCCATTAAGACTGCCAAATTCACTGTCGTTCTTGGAAACAGGAACCACCAATATCCTATATTGACAGAACAGGTAATGACCCTGGAACACAAGAAATTGTGGTTGGAGACCTGAGTCTTCACCTTTCAGGTGCTTCCCCACAAACATTTTACGGTTTGTCTTCGTTTCTGCAGTGGCAGGATGCCAAAATTTCCAATACAGTGATTGAATTTTCCCCTGCCTAAGTAGGTTGTCCTAAAAGTTGGGGGTTTTTTTAAGCCTTTCAAAAGTATCTTAAATCAATTTCTCAACGAAAATTGAAGAGGGAATTTTTGTAAATGCAGCTTTTAATGAAAACAAAAACCATCCCAACCAGTTGTAATGCAATGGCAATTAAATTTGTGAATATATTAAAAAAAAATAAATCATTCTCTTTTCTTCTTTACAAGTCACTCTTTGGAATGTTCATATCCTCCCAGAGCTTTTGGTACTCCACCTCACCCTTCAAGGTAACAGAAAGGCTGCCACTAAGTTATACGTGCTTTTTGTCCACATAAACAGCATCAGAACTCCTAAAAGACTGCCTGCCTCCATGGAAGGCATTCAAAGGTGACCAGGGACAGGCCGTAGCTCCTCACTGAAGGGCAGAGAGCTAGGATTGAGGCTCTGGTGCACATCAGATCAGGCACAGGTGCCCCACTGGATGAAGGACATAGAATCATAGAACCCTTTAGGTTGGAAGAGGCCTTTAAGATCATCAAGTCCAACTATCAAGCCAACACTGCTAAGTCCTCTACATCCTCCCTGCTTTGATGGATCCACAGCCACGTTGCCAAGAGTGCCCTGGGAGCAGTACATGGCTACTCAGACTTTTATCCTGAACCACAGCTACTTTCTCCTCCTCTGATCCTGTTCTTGGGCTTTTGACTATGCAGTGACCTAACTTCACCAGCATGGAAGATGTTTACCCTCAGGCCATTGGGCATTAGAACACTTGCTTGAAGTGCAAGTTCAGTATTCTTGGAGCTAAAAGTGCTTAGCATTCTAGTTTCCTACTTCTTGGGTGAAATCCAGTGCACTCTTATGCTGGAAATGCCACCGAGATGTGTACTTCTGATTACATCTGAATTGTCCAAGGGCCTTCTGAACAGCCTAGACCTTTTTTAAAGAAAGAAGTGTTGGGAGGACATCAGCTCAGTTCCCAGAAGCAGCACTTCTAATTGTGTATTTGTGATTAAACATAGGAACAATGGGAATATAGATCAGTTAGACATTTTGTAGGTTTGTAGCATAAAAAAATAGGCAAAACTGGGAGGTAAGTAGACTAGTGTCCTGCCTAGAGACTGCACTTAGTTCAGGTGCACTGGGTCCCACCTAATGTACTCATGAAGTCCATCAGTATGTCAGTAGCATACCTCCTATATAGTATCACTACACAAGACAATAAATAGAGGTATCCAGAAAATAAGCATTCTGTTCAAGGCAATTTCTTAGATTCCCAAAAAGCACCATGCTGCTAATGTTTCTGTGAAAA